AGAACATCAGGAGCCCCAGGAGCTGAGCAGGGATCCTCATGGCCATGCTATTTTCTGATGGGGATGACTCCTGCACAGGGTGTGAGCAGCCTCTTAAGACATACGCAGGGCAGTGGGATGTTCTGTGGGAACATGTAAATCAGCAGGGCTGGGCAGGCTGGGCACAGCTGCAGWGCTGCTCATCTGCCACTCATCACAGGCCAGGTGTGCCCATTGTCCCAGTTCAGTTGAGAGGAGCACAGATGTGCCAGAGCAGAATATGATTCACCTGGAACACACAGGACACAACCAGAATACTCTCTTGTGAGGAGTGAMTTATTGCTTTCTTCATGATCCAGGAAAGGCTTTCCTTGTGTCTCCTAAGGTCATTGTTTTTTCTTTTATTACTGACCTTAGGAACAGAACTAAGGGAGAAAGAGACATTTTGTGCTTAGGATGTGAAAAGAGGCCTGAAGGCATGGAAAAAGTAGAATATGTAGACTCTGTGATGTGGTTTAGGTTTCTCTACACATTGGCCTTTCTGGACCAGGAGGCCAGGGTSGGATAGAACCCAGTATGATTCTGCCCTTCCTTCCTCAGTGTTCCCAAGACACACTTAGACATGTGGTGGTTCCTCCCATCCTGAGAAGAGTGGGCAAAGCCTACACATGTCCTTTCCTAAGTGTCTTTCTGGAGAGGTTAGAGTAATTTCAGAAGAAAGTTTTAGTTCCTTTCATGGCTCTAGTGAAGATGAAGCTCAGCCCCCCCTAGGCCCGTGTTTACTGAACAGTGACCTGCTCCTTGATGAGGGCTCTGGGGACATCCTGGGGACAGCACTGGAATTGTAACACCTCTCGCTTCCACTTCTGTCCCCTCCTCTCTGGACACCTCCAGGTCTGGTCACAATCACTGAATGGGCTCTCAGTATGTTCTCTTCCCTCTTTGAATTCATAAGGACAGTCCATCCTCCTTGCTCACCTGGGGAATCCTCCGAGTAGGGCCTTGTCCTCTCACCAGCCTGGTCCTCTGCTGACCAGCATTCTGACTTCACTCCATGAATCCCTGTGTTGGTTTATGGATATTATAGTCACAAAGTAGATCAAAAACCCTACCTGAGCTTGCATCTGGGGAGATACAGCCCATGTGCAGAGCCCCAGATCCCTGTGGGCCTGAGTGCAGGGCAGAGCTCCCAAGCCTTGGTGGCCCCCATGTGATGGGATCACTGCTCCTGTCCCAGGGCTTCTAGATCAGTTTTCTTGGATTGTTTATTTTCTGGTGTGTTGTCATGAGCTGCCCATGGGCAGCATGTGGATTGTGCATAGTAGTCTTCTGAGGGGACAGGTCTGGCACTTCAAAGTCCCTATCAGGAATTAATCACATGATGTAGGTTCACCTCACCCTCTAGCTTTGCCTAAGATCCCACATAGCACCTGAGGTGGGTGTGACCTGCCAAGATGTCAATCAATCTGCTGACCACAAGACTCATGAAGCAAGATCCCACCTTTGAAAATTTTTCCCTTCCTCTGATGTCCCCACTATAAAATAAAGAAAATGTGGTGGTGCTTCATGCAAGGGTCAATCTTGGGAAGGCAATTGGGACTGAGGAGCAGCCTCAGGACCAGGTGACTAATTACAGTTCTCTTTTCTTSAGTTTTGACCTGAAGGTAGTGGGGAAGCACTCTACATGAACCTAGAGTACATGGAATACAACTTGAAAATATTGTGCTTCCAATCCAGTGCACAGAGATCACACACATGTGCACCTGGTGTCCTATAAAAGCTCCCTCTCACTCAGCTTATTTTCACATATGAATTCAATACTCTTGGCACAATTCCAGGCTATAAGTGTGATGTTCTCCTATATGAAATTGTTTTGTGAAGATAACTGGTGAGTGTGTCTATCAGAAGCCAGAGTGTAGAAATACCAATTTATAATTTTTTTGCAATGTTTGGGATAAAATCTGTGCAATCCTGAAAAATAAATGACTAAAAAGTGATATAATTTTATAAACTAATTTGTGAAAATTTTTAACAAATTTCATCAACTGAGATCCAAATTTGTATTTTCAATGTTGGGGTTTTATGCCAAATATCATTTTGAAAAMGTGAAAGAGTAGATAGAAAACACTTTATTCTAAGATACAGATGATACCTCTGGGAATCAACAGATTCAGAGCAAAGTTATAATTCATTTACAGAGACTGGGTGTCCATACMAAGTTTCTCTCTTACCCTACACCTCATCATAAGCTCACTTTGAGAACCATGAGGATTGTCCTCATCAGTTAATTCCAAGGGGTAGGGGGGCATGGATACACTTTGATTTGACTGCATTAGCATCCTAAGATGGCACARGTAAGGTAGCCAGAATGATGGGTGTCTCTGATATATTTTATCAAGATAGCCTATATTTAAGAAGAGTGTATGGTCAAGCTCTGTGTGGAGAGATGTGTGTCCTTGTCAAAGATCTGTGCGTGAATTCCTGGAAAGCAGGTTGGTTCAGGGCATGGAGGGAGAAGACAGAAATCAGAGTCCAAGTGATCCTGAGAAGATATACACTTGTCAAAAGCAGAKGAAAGCTGTCCTCAAATGAAGATAGAGTAAAATCTGGAACAATCAGAAGAAACAAAAATAGGGAGAATATTTTAATTCTTGTCCCTGAAAACCCAGGATTCAGCAGAGGCTGCAGCTTTGCTTTGGTAGACTAGTGCTGGAAGGAGGAAAGGGAAAGGGTGCAGTAAGGACTTCTTAGTTTTCTGCTCCATGAGGTACTTTTCTCAGATCATGCACCATGTGTGGTATTTGGTTCCAGACAATGAGTCACTGTTTTAAATAAAAAAAATTCTGCTGGAATCAAAACAGTTATATTGATGTCATCGCATGTGCACTTCTGTAGACTGTGCTTTGGTTTCAACGTCAGGTGACCCCCTAAACCTACTGTGTTAATGCAGGAATATTCAGAGGTGAAATGATAAGACAAGGATAGCTGAGGTTATTCAGTCCTTCCTGGCCTGAGTGGACTAACTGGGTGGTGACTGAGGGCATGGAGTGTGGCTGGAGGAGGTGGTCACTAGGTGACCCTGGAAGGTGCATCCTCCCAGAGGCTCCTTCACCTGTTTCCTTATACTTCCTGGCCACTAAGGGTGAATCAGCTCTCATCCCCAATACCCTTCTGCTCTGATGTTCTGCCCACCTGGGCCCAGATCAATGGGGTCAGATGACCATGGACTCACTTTCTGAACCAATGTACTTAAATAAACTTTTTATCCTCTAASTTAGATGACTGTTGGAATTTTGTCCCACTGATATGAAACGGACCACAAGTGATTAAGAGGATTTTTCTTGAATTTAGGCATCTGAAGGGACTAAGGACTTCCAAGGAGAATGTGCTTCCTGGGCCTATCAGGATAAGAAACCTTTCTTTTGGGTGAGCTGTGGCCCTCAGTAGACCATAAGTCAAAGCACTGGCACCAAATAGGAGCTTGTTAGAAATTAAGAATTTTAGGCCTGTGAGGGGACGTGATTCTAATAATGTCCAGGTAAAAAAGAAAACATCCTTCATTATATGAAAACCTGGATAAACTCATATGAATGAGAAATTTTAGTCAGTTCACATTAACACTGAGTTGAAATGTATCTAAGGATTATCTGAACTTAATTTTAAAGCAGCCACCATAAAAGTGCATCAATGAGCACCTGCAACTGTGTTTGAAAGAAATGAAAAACAATCAGAAATCTTGAACAGGAGTATTGGAACTGTACAAAGGCCAAGAATGAAAGTTTCAGAACTGAAAAATGCATCCACCACAATGAAAGCAGAAGTGAGCTGAGCAGATGAATGGAGCAGACAGAGGAAGGAGGCAGCAGGAGGGACAGTCAAGGTCACAGCCAGCTAGAGAAACCTGGGAGAACCCTGAGAAGGCAAATGCACAGGGACTCAGAATGAACCAGGAGGTGCCTCTCAGCTCCCCTGACAGCCACACTGCCAGCTTCTGAAGACAGAAACAGAATCCTTAGCTTAATGGAAGAAGCAACTAGAATCACCAGAGAATTTCTCCCCAGAAAACAAGGAGGAAAAGGGAAAGGACACACTTTCAAGAGCTGAAGGACAATTCTGTTGACCTAGAACTCTAGACCCAGGGAAGTGTACTTCAGAAATCAAGGTAAAATCAAGAGCCCCTCTGGTGTAGAAAAACAAAGAGAATAATACATAGCTCACCCCAAACTGGGGGCAAAGTGCTCTATAAAGAAATAATGTGTGAGAGGAACATGGACCTTGGAACACAGGGATGGAGAAGGACCATAAAGGGAGGACAGATGACAAGCACTTTACAGCTGGATCTGACCACTGCACATTGTGGACATCTGTCCAAWCATCACTGTGACACCCCAGGTCACCCAGGAAATGCAAATAAAAACACATGAGAAAACATCTCCCTGAGGGAATGGCCAAGAYACACTATGGACACACATCACTGTCCACTTGTCTACTTCCAAAGAATGCAAGATGAGACTCTAATGTGACTGTAAATGTGGGAAGAGGCTAATGAATTGTAATAAATGCAACAGTGTTTGAGGGATGCTGATGATGGAGGGGTTGTGGGAGCAGAGGGGACACGGGAGAACTTTGCACTTCACCCCGGTTTTTCTAGGACTTACACTATACAAAAAAAAAAATAAATTCTTAAAGTATTCCTGTGTGGAATACATGGAGAGGACTATCATTGCTGAACAATCCCTGATACTGCCTAATTCAGTCTCTTCAGGTCTTAAATTATTTTCTTTATCATACAGTGAGCTCATTGCCTGCTGGGCTGAGCTGAAGGGTCAAGGTGCAGAGGGTCCCCCGTGGATCCTCTGACTGACCCTCCTTGTAGTGCTCATGGCCTGGGTGCCTCTGAGCAGTGACCTCAGCAGGTGGAGGCAGCAGGAGGAGCAGCTGGGGCAGCCCAGCCTCACACTTCTGCTCCCTGTGAGGTTTTTGTAATGGCCTCTATCACTGTGGGAGGGGAACCATTATACTGCTGACAGTAATAAGTGCCAAAATCTTCAGGCTCGAGACTGCTGATGGTGAGAGTGAAATCTGTCCCAGATCCACTGCCACTGAACCTTGAGGGGACACCAGGTTGCAGATTGGATGCACCATAGATGAGGAGCTTAGGAGCTCTGCCTGGCTTCTGTTGATACCAAGCTAACCAACTGTTAATATTCTGACTGGCCCTGCAGGTGATGGTGACTCTGTCTCCACGAGACACATGCAAGGAGGATGGAGACTGGGTCATCATGATGTCACATCTGACACCTAACATTGGAAACATAAAAAGAAATATCCTTGTAAGTAGTGATGTTCCAAAGGATTTTCCTGAGAAGCCAGGCAACACTGACCACACTGTAATTAGTAAATCCCCAGTGCTGTCCCTCCTTACCTGGGAGGCAGAGCAGCAGGAGCCCCAGGGGCTGAGCAGGGGCCCTCATGACCATGCTGTGTCCTGACTGGAACTTACTCCTGCACAGGGTGTGAGCAGCCTCTTAAGAAATCCTCAGGGCAGTGGGCTGTGCTGTGGGCACATGCAAATCAGCAGGGCTGGGCAGGCTGGGCACAGCTGCAGGGCGTGCTCCTCCTAGTCAATCAACATAGGCTCAGTGTGTCCAGGTGTCCCACAGCAGACCAGGGCAACTCAGACTTGTTTGGGGGAACATGGTTCCTGGGACCACAGAACACAATCAGCCCCCTGAGCTGTAAGAGGTTATCTGTAGTATTTCCTGGTTGAGGACAGGATGTTCTTGTGTTTTAAGTGTTAAGGCAAGATTTCAATAAATTACCATGTCCATCTTAGAGCAGGAGATGGAAATGCTATTCACCAGTTGGTGGTCTGGATCTACCAGCTGGAGGGCCAGGGGGAGGCTGCAAGTCTACACCCTTTGTCCCACTCCTGGGGTTTGAGTACACCCTTTGTAGTCCAAAACCATATTAATATATAACTGGCTGTTGCTATGATTCAAAACCATGAACAAATGTCATGAGATCTAAAATTATAAGCAAAAAAGTGAGTGGACCAAAACCTCCTAGTTTAGTACAAGTTATAAAAAAATGTTAGTAACATCTAGACAATTAATCTCTGACTGGGTACTTTATCCTAGAAAAATTGGAACAAAGGAAAGAAAATTTTTACATTGTATGATAATTGCCATTTTGTGTTGCCACACATGCTGTGCCATCCACTGTTGAGGGGCACAAAGGCAGGACTTTCCTTGGGAGGGAGAAGCACTTCTTATAGGATGTGGAGTCTCAGGGCAAAATGGAGTCTGTTTGGTCATTGTTGTGCAGCCTGGCCCATGACATAAACACCGTTCTGTGTTACTGACTCTTGGGGGATGAGGAGGCATTAAAGAAACAAAGTGGTAGTTTATGCTTTAGAAGTAAAAACAGAAATAGACAGACAAAGAGGAAAATGTATAAATTTACTGAAGTGTCTGGGGTTTGAGGTCATTGGCACAACATGGGTAAGAGGGAGAGAAGGAGGTACCCACCCATGGACCCACCTCTCCTTGCCTCAGTGTTCCCAAAACACACTCATACCCATCATGGTSCCCATCTTCTCCAGACCAGCAGGTCTAAGGCCAGCCATGATCTTCCTTTTAACTGTCTATTAGGAGAAGAATAATTTTATTAACAATAAAAGTACTGAAGCAATTGAAGTTTGGAGAATGTAGGGCAGGGCCAGCATCTTAATAAAAACAGCAAAGATCCAGATTCTTTATATAATTCTACTTTACTAGTATTACCACAGGAGTTTTTCAGTCTTGCTCTTAATGCCTCATGGACTCAAGAAGGCTGCAGTGTCTCTAAATAACATGTCTTTTACCAGGTCCTCTTGTAACTTTTTCAGGAATAAAAAAGTCAAAGTTAATTACACTTTCTCTTCTTAGACTTCTCAAAAAATTATCCTGTAATTTTCCATAATCATTTTTTCTTTTCTCTTATTTTCTTCTTTTCTTCTTCCTTTCATTTCCCTCTTTGGTACTGATAACTGAACCCAAGGCATTTTGCATGCTACACAATATCTCTACCTCTGAGTCAGAGCCCCAGGCCATCCTCCCTCACTTACATATCATTTCTGAGATGATCAGTTGTGCCCTCTGATACTTCCTCCTGCCCTGGTCTGGGAGGGATCACCTGTTCTTACCACAAACATCAGGACCGAGCTGGTGATTAGTAAATTAAAGGAAAGGGAAGATGTTTTATAAGCTTCACCCTATTTTAAATATCCCTGTGCTTGTGTTAAGTTCCTTAGGGAAGATAGACTATAATGAAATCTTTACTGTGTGGCTGGGAAAAGTACATTCAGGTCAAGTTTCTCCTTAKCAGGGTGAAATCCTGCAGGTGAACAATTGTGGAAATGTGTACTGAGCTTTACAGGAAGGAAGGACTTTGCTTGTGTAGTAGTCATGGGGAGATTGCAATAAATCAATCAGTTTAAGATAAATCCTGATATTAAAGCAGGAGAAGAAACACTTATTCACCAGCTAGTGGTCAGGATTCACCAGCCAGCAGGCCAAGGGGCAGACTACAAGTCTACAGCTTTAGACCTCCCCCTGCCCCAGGGTTTTAGCACAGCTTTTATACCATAAATAAAGAATGCCAGCACATTAATCACAAGTGGCTACTGCTGGTTCAAAACCACAAACAAACATCACAAGATCTAAAATCATAAGCAGCAGGGAAGTGGGTGAAAATCACTCTAGTTGAGCACAAGTTAAAGAATGTCAACAACACCTAGATGGCCATTCTCTGACAGGATGCAAGGCCCAGGAAACATGGCGACCACAGAGAGACCAACTTTACATAGTATAAGAATTGACATTTTTGTGCTGCCAAACTGCTGTGCCAGCCACCGTGGATGGGCACAGAGGCCAGGGTTCCCATGGAAGAAGCACTTTTTACAAGAAGTGGAGCCTCGGGGTAAAATGGAATCTCTGTGGTCAGTGCCCATGTAGCCTGGCCCATAGCTGTAGATGGGAGAGGCTAGGCAGAGGCTTAGCCAGGCTGAGTTCAGGAGGTGCTTCCTGAGAGCTTCAGGCTCTGGCCTTGAACTATGAGGATTAGAGGAAAACATTCAGCCTTTGTTTTTTGGGATTGGCTTATTTCACTTAACATGATATTCTCCAACTCCAAACATTTACTAGCAAGTGCTATAATTTTACTCTTCTTTAAAGCTGAGTAATATTCCATAGAATATATATATATATATATATATATATATATATATATATATATATATTGCATTGTATTTTTCCATTTATCTATTGAGGGACACCAAGTTTGGTTCCATAGTCTAGCTATTGTGAATTGAGCTGCTATAAACATTGATGCAGCTGCATTACTGTAGCATGCTGATTTTAAGTCTTTTGKGTATAAACMAAGRAGTGGGATAGCTGGGTCAAATGGTGGCTCCATTCCCAGTTTTCTGAGGAATCTCCATACTACTTTTCATAGTGGTTCCATCAATTTGCAATCCCACCAGTGATGTATGAGTGAATCTTTTTATTTTATTCCTATAGAGTATTCCTATAATTTTCCTGGGGTGGCCTTGAACCTGGATTCCTCCTCCCTGAACCTCTAAGGTAGGTGAGCTTATAGGCATGAGCCACTATACCCATTGGACATTAAGTTTGAAGCAGTTATCTTCAATATTTAAAGTTAACATCTCTTGCCTAGACCATGGCTGCTACTCCACTTAGATGGACTGAGCATGAGCATCATGGAGTTCATGACCTGCTCCTGGATGCCTGCTGTGTCGACATTGACCTTTCCATTGCTGGGGACACTGGGTGACCTGAAGGGCTCTGGTTACAGATAGAAGCAGGTGTCATACACATGGGCAGTTGTTCTGGGCCCCAAGAGGACAGAAGTTTTTGGTCCAGAGCTGGGCATGGGCAGCTTCTCCCTTGTGTTTCCCCCCACAGGGCACAGAGCAGCTGGCTCAGTGACTTCATGGCCACAGGACAACCCATTCATAGCTGCTGGTGGCCACCCCTCTGACTGGAGAAGCAGGGGTGCCCCTGGCAGGTCACAGCTGATACGATACAGGGACTCTGTTTATGGTGGACCATGGAGGCCACATGTACAGCTCTGAATACCTGCTGCTCTCCTTTYTGCTCTCTAAAGACCACCAGGCCCCATCTTTGACTCTCCCATGAGAATCCAAGGGGTGGAGTCAGAGGCAGGCCAAGGGCCAGAACATGCAGGAAAACAGGGTTGTGACCCACATGAGGAGAGCCATGTGGGAATTGAGGAGTGACAGGTGTGAACTCAGAGTAGGAGGGGACAGGACAGAGAAGACCCAGGCAGGAGGGCAGAGGAGAGACACTGGAGGAGTCCAGAATCCAGGGAGTAGGGATTGGAGGGGGAGGGAGGGTGTGACTTCAGAGCTGTCCCCAATCTGCTCCCCTGAGTGTCCTCAGACTGTCAGCAGCCCTGTGCACAAACACCAGCTGAGTGGAGGTTTGTCCCCTAGTGGGGACAGGAAGAAGTTCAAGTTCTTTGAAGGAAGTGTGGCTGCTGGTGGCCAGAGTGATCAGTGTCCCTGCTGCACAGCCCTCTCAGGCAGGCAGGGTGTGCAGAGGGCAGCAGGAGGCAGCAGGAGCTCAGCAGGCAGGCCTGGTCCTCATGGTGCCAGGCTGGATGCTGCTAATGCTCTTTCAGTGTCTATAGGGGACAGTGAGTTCTCACTCCCCAGCACTGTGGTAGGGAGAAGAGAGGGCTGGGGTCAGGTCACTGTGAGAGCACTGGCAGCATGGTGGAGGCCTGGGTTCTGTCCCCAGCACCACAGAGAAACAGCCAAGAAAATTAAATTAAAAACATTGGAAATCATAATCTGAGTCCCCTCAATGCACTTCTGTTTTGCAAGATTATTTATCTCTCTCTGTCCCCTGCATTATCCTGTTAACTGTAACAAACAATTGACAATTATGCAAAAGAAAGAAAGAAGATGCAATTGTGCTTTTGATAATTAATGCATTGAGTTTAACAATTTGAGATGGACTGCTATCTTATTGTWCTTTTATTTTTTGTTATTTATTTTTTTGTTCCATGGATTGATCTCAAGGGCAGTCAATCACTGAACAACATCCCCAGCCCTCTTTTGTATTTTATTTAGAGACAGGGTCTCCCTGAGTTGCTTAATGCCTTCCTGCTGATGAAGGTGGCTTTGATCTTGTGATTCTCCTGCCTCAGCCTTGCAAGCCACTGGAATGGACTGCTATTTTTATATTAGGCCATTCAACACTAAAACAAGCAGACAAAGATAAATTTACTTTCTGACAGGCTCCTTTAATATCATTCTGTAACATTCAGTACACAAACCTGTGCAAAATAAACTTATTGTCTTTATTGTGCAAAGAAGGAGGTTGAGGCTCTAAAGTGAAAGTGTGCCCAGGAGGAGCCCAGAGTGAGCTCTGCAGTCACTGCTCCTAGTCATCCCTCTACTCTTCACATCTTCCAACCCATAATTTCCCTGACTTCTCAGAAGGAAAGGTAAATATGTTTCTTCTATCTCCCAAGTAACAGAATATAATAAACAGCTGATTTTAGTGTGAAGTCAGAGTAGCAATGATAAATACCAAGACTCTGTTTTAAAATGGTGAAATACCCAGCAGGTTTTTCAAAGGTTCAAATTCAAGCAAAAGAGTCTGTGCAAAAACATCCCAGTTTCCTTCACAAAACATGAGAAGAGCATTAGAGGGACAAGTGTCAATCACCTGTGCTGTGTAGGAAGCACACAATGGCAGGAGTTGCACAGGGACATTGTCCTGGAGAGAGTGGCAGAGATTCATGAGGAAGCCATCTAGTGGGAGGGGTCTTGCTAGCAAACGTGAGCTCTAGAGATGGGCTGGGCTGGGATTCCAAACTTTCCATGAAATTAATTGACACCAACCACACCTTACTGCTGATGCACATGGAAGCCAAACTGGGACACCCAAGTTTGCAAAAATAGTGAGATTTTCTGTGAGGCCAGCTGGCATGGAGGACAGGAAGCCTCAGCTCATCTCTGCCTCCCCAGCACTGAGAGCAGAGGAATTTCCAGGAAGGGAAGGAGGCTGCCTGGGGACTAGGAAGTGAGAAGGGGAGTCTGAGGCCCTTCATGCAGGTGGAGGAGGTCATGGTGCCTCTTCACAGGAACATGGTACTTTGCGGCAGTTATTAGGTTCTGCATGTGAGATACGGAGCTGTGACTTTGAAAGTTCATTGGCCAGAGGGGAAAAAAGATGAGAAAAAGAAATTTCATTTCTAGTACATCTGGAATTTTCTTGTCATGTCATTGTTGAAATAACCTATTGAAAATTGTCCATCAWTTTGATCTGGAGGTTTTTCCTAAATAACTCCCTAAATCATTGACTATTTAAGAAATTTATGTCCAAGTGTGTTGAGCTACAGTTGTATTCACACTCTTCATCATTCAGTGTCAAACATTGAGATGCAAGATTCTGACAGGAAAAAGACAAATCACTCAGATGTTAGCTCCTTAGGAGTGATGGAGGAATGTGCTCATCAGAAATTCTGACCTTCCATCAATTCCCACCTCCTTGGAACCCTGGGCTCTCTATAGGTGGAGAAGCAGGAATAACTGAGAGGCTTTGTGTGGACACAAACAAAAAGAAAGTGTTCAAGATTTCCCCATCTTACCCTGGCTTTGTTAGGAAATAAATGTGAGCAGAACCTGGAGCTGTTTCTAGAACCACAGTTGACAGTGTCTATGCTTTGGCAGATTTAGCAAGATGTTGTTGATGTCAAAATGAGTAGGAAATAAATATCTAAAAATCAGTTACACTTAGGGATTCACCTTTAACTCTACCTGTGTTTGGGATATTATGACACTTCCGGAGAATCCATCCTCACCTGGTGAAGTAGGGAAATAATATCAAGTGTTCGCATCATCTTTAATCTTTCATATTTTTTCCAGGGGAGCAAAAGAGGGCATAGGAAACTATGAATCTTTCAGACATGAATGAAGTTTAATTTCCTCTCTCAACAAACTTTGCAGGTGAGGGGAAAGAGAAAAGTGCAAAATATCTGACTGGGTGCCTCTGAGGGATGCCACTGTGTCCCAGGGGAGAGAGGGTGGCAGCAGGGCTGGTGAGGTTTCTGTTGGGGACTAAACCACTGTGGTAATCTGTGTGGCCCTGCAGACAGTAATAAACTGCAGCATCCCCAGGCTCCAAGCTGCTGATGGAGAAAGTGTAGTCTATCCCTGACCCACTGCCACTGAACCAGGTTGGAATGCTACTAGCCCTGCTGGATGCACCATAAATGAGGCATCTGGGAGCCTGCCCAGGCTTCTGCTGGTACCAGGCAATGTAGCTGCTAACACTCTGAATGGCCTTGCAGGTGAGGGTGGCTCTTTCCCCTGGAGACAAACCCAGAGAGGCTGGAGTCTGTGTCAGCACAGCTTTCCCTAAGACACTTCCTTCAGACTTCTTCCTCAGGGGTTATCATGTAGCCAGCTAGTCAGGAAATTCCTTAGCTTGGCCTTTTATATGGAGAATATATTTATATCCTTCCAGAGTGTCAAAATAATTTAGAGAATCAGGACTAGGAATTTTAATGACAGAACTAGGTAAAGGAATAAAGTCAAGTGGAGAAGAAATTAACACCAGAAAACACAGCACATGCATAACCACCATATCCACCAATGCTCATGGATATGTGAGAGTTAGCAATGCATCAACAATGTCAATGTAAGTCTCCTAGGTTAATATACAGCATGAGTGTGCATCAGGCCTAGGTCACACCAGCTTATGCAGTACTGGAAAGTGTTGCACATATGAATCATACAGTGTTGGTATGTGTGTTGCCATGCGTGTGAGACCAGTCATGTCCACATGTCCACACTGTTCCCCAATTTGAAAGCTTGCTGGCTGAGGCACTAGTGCCATTGCCTGGAGCCTCTAGCCTTTCCAGAACAGAGGCCTCAGGACTCTCCCAATGACTCTCAGCATTTCTCCCTGGGATAAGGGGAGTCTCACTGAGGGAAGCCCTGGAAGCAGCAGAGGCTAGTGCAGGCTCCTATTGTCATGGAGTCCCCAAGTCCTCCTGCCTCACCAGTCAGCTAGTTTCCCTAGCTGACTCCTTCACTAGTTTGCCTCCTTCTGTCTGCATGTGAACACCCAGGTGGTCCTAGCAGAAACTGCAGCATCCCCAGGCTCCAAGCTGCTGATGGAGAAAGTGTAGTCTATCCCTGACCCACTGCCACTGAATGCACCATAATCAGGACTAGGGATTTTAATGACAGAACTGCTGGGACATGCTGCTTGGGCAAACTCAGAGGGACACAGGGACATACTGCTTGGGCAAACTCAGAGGGAAAGGAGAAGGSTGCCACCCCAGGTCACTCTCTATCCCACCTGTGCCCAGTGCTCTTCTCCTGGTCAGGACAGCTTCAGGCTGGAATGGGGAGTCCATCAGAACTTGACCTTCAGGAGCACATCTCACTTGCTCCTTGTCCCACTTTCCTGAGGCCCTGAGGCCACCACATTTTCTGTAGAAACGAGCAMAGCACATGCCTCCCTGAGGCCCAAAAGAGGCCATGCAAGGTCAACCACACCTGCTTTGAGGAGCAGGGCTGCCTGAGCCCCAGGGAGCTGCTCCTCCTCCCTTAAATGGATGAGAGGGCTGAGCAGCACCACGGAGATCTGCCTAGGTTCCTCCTGTGGTCTACCCACTCCATCCTGCACAATGCATCCACCAACCAACTCAGGGCCTGCTCTCCATGACAGTATTGACACTCTGTTGTACCCTGTCTATCTGCTGGTTCCTCTGAAAACCTAAACTCTTGGTCTCCTGACCTTTCTCTGCATCTCAAGGAAGCTTCTGCACTGACGCTGTTCCACCTTCCCCTGGAATCAGCACCATTCAGCTATAAGAGCTTTCCCACAGCTGCACTGTGTCCACCCCATGGCCTAATGCTGTCAGGCTGGGCCCGAGTCAGGTCTCCTGTGTGAGATGGATCTCTGTCTCTGACAGACTGTGTTACATCAAGATAGTCTTCAGCGTCCCTTGACCTCACAAGGCACATCTGTGCAGCTGTTACAACAACAGCATCTTCCTGGTAGTTTAGACTTCAACCTAAACAGGATCAGGCCTTCCAAGAGCATCTAACAGAACACTAGAGGCTCTTGATTCTGGTGTTGTGGTCTCCATGGTGACAATGCTCATCATCATCATAAGAAGACTAACTTAGTGGGGGCCTACTGCTCCTGTTTTGGTGTTTCTAGATCTGGTTCCCGGATTGTTACTGTCTGCTGTGTTTGCTCTCTAGTGACATTCTGCAGCATCAAGATGTGGGCTTTGTAGTCTGGGGTTCCACAGTCTTGAGCATGGATCTTTTCTCCCCAATTTATGAAGCTGTTCCTCTTCTTTCTTCACTAGGCAAGATTCTACAGGAAATGCAGGTGATCCCTCTGCTCAAGTAATTGTCCATGGCTTAGGATCAAAGATTAACAGTTCATCAAGAATTTAAAATGTGCTGTTCTCAGGAGGTTGAAACCTGGCCCATGTGACCCACATGAGATGCCAAAGTTGTAGTTTAGGCAAAGAAAAAAGGGGCCTGAAGAACCCTATAGGGTGCAGAGGTATCAGAGGAGGGGGTGTCCAGGGGCTCCTGGTCTAGAACTACCAACCAAGACTCATGCTCCTCACCCTGAATGTTTCTACAGCCTCTGTGAGACCCTCAGCAGYTCCCAAGGTCTCTCAGGCCCAGAGGCAGCACTCACCAGTTGGGCAGAGTCACCCATGACCTCATGAGAAGCAGCACAGAGGGTCCCAGTAGTTCTGCAGCTCCAGTCACCAGCATCTCCTGTGCCTCTCCCCTAAGGCTCTGGAGGTGCTGAGGAAGGAAGGGACCTACCCCCTGGTCCCTGAGCTCCTGGCTCAGAGCATACCTCTCTAGGAGTCCTGGGGCTCCAGTGTCACCTTTGACTAGTGTGTTCCCTGCCCAGGTGAGAGCTTCATAGATTTTCTTTTTCTCATCAAAAACAGGTTTATTGGATTATTTTTTATATCAAGAACAGACTCACTTGGAGGTGGGAAAGGAGGATGGTGACCCTGGGGCTCTGCAGGGGAAGGTTTTCTGGACCTTGTTCCCTGACTGACGTCTGGAGTCTGCTGTGACAGGGGAGGTTCAGCACATCACAGCTGAGACTCATGCCAGCCATTAACACAGGGACTGAGGGGGAGTTAGGAGCAGCTGGAGCTCAGACAGTGTGAGGGTGGGATCTGAATTGTGCCAGGCCCAATACTGGACACACATCACCGTCCACTTGTCTATTTCCACAGAATGAGCAAACTGATCCTGGTGTGACCTGTAGACTTGGGCAGAGGTTGATGAATTGTAACAAAAGCAACAGTGTCTGGGCGTGGTGAAGAAGGGGCTGTGGGTGCAGGGGAGATACAGGGGAACCCTGTACTTCACCGCAATTTCCTAGATACTTAAACTACACTCAAAAATAAAGTATAAAATATTCCCATGTGGAATACATGGAGAGCCCTGTCTTTGTTGCACAACCCCTAATACTGCCTAATTCAGTCTCTTTAGGTCTTAAACTATTTTCTTTATCATAGCAGTAAGCTCATTGCCTGCTGGGGCTGAGCTGAAGGGTCCGGGTGCAGAGGAGCCACCTGGATCCTTTGACAAACCCCCCTTGTAATGCTCAGGGCCTTGTGCCTCTGAGCAGTGCCCTCAGCAGGTGGAGGCAGCAGGAGGAGCAGCTGGGGCAGCCCAGCCTCACACTTCTGCTCCCTGGGAGGTTTTTGTCATGGCCTGTATCACTGTGGGAGGGTAACTGCTTCCTTGTACACAGTAATAATTGGCAACATCTTCAGGCTCCAGGCTGCTGATGGTGAGAGAACAATCTGTCCTAGATCCACTGCCACTGAACTTCGAGGGGACTCCAGGTTGCAGATTGGATGCACCATAGATGAGGAGTTTAGGAGCTTGGCCTGGCTTCTGTTGATACCAAGCTAACGAACTATTAATTTTCTCACTGGCCCTGCAGGTGATTTTGACTCTGTCTCCACGAGACACAGGCAAGGAGAATGGAGACTGGGTCATTGTGATGTCACATCTGACACCTGACATTGGAAACATAAAAAGAAATATCCTTGTAAGTAGTGATGTTCCAAGAGGATTTTCCTGAGAAGCCAGGCAGCACTGACCACACTGTAATTAGTTAATCCCCAGTGCTGTCCCTCCTTACCTGGGAGGCAGAGCAGCAGGAGCCACAGGAGATGAGCAGAGGCCCTCATGACCATGCTGTGTCTTGACTGGGACTGACTCCTGCACAGGGTGTTGCCGCGTCCCCTCGCCAGCAAAGGAAACACGACACAGGATTCTTCCTTCAGCAGTTTATTCAGGCCTTTATTTTGACATGTCTTCTAGTTTCTACTTCTACTCCTACTGCTACTTCTACTGCTACTCCTACTACTACTACTACTCCTACTACTACTACTACTACTACTCCTACTACTACTACTCCTACTGCTACTTCTACTGCTACTCCTACTACTACTCCTACTACTCCTGCTACGTGCCCCAGCCTTAATAAAGCAGATAAAGCCCCAATGCACAACTACCACGTGGATCTTTCTCATAGGGTGTTTTACAGCTACGTGCCAACTCTCCCAAAATAAGGAGTTGTTTATCACAGGCCACGGCGGGCGCTTATCAGCGCCATCTTGTAATGGCGGCCACAGTACACAGAAACGGCTCACTACAGTTCCCCCTTTTTTGTTTTACTAAGACAAAACAGGCGAGAGTAGAGGTCCTATCCCACTGTGCAGAAGTGGCTGCATATGGTTCAGCCCTAAGGAGGCGCCTTCCCCAGATCTGGCTCCATATCAGCCGACGCCTTTTTTCGTGGGGCGGGGCGTGGACGTCCAACCCGCATGCAATAGGACATGCTC